ATGGGGCTACCTCTCTGGGCAACCTGTTCCAGTGCTTGACCATCCTCACTGTAAAAAAATTTCTTTCTTATGTCCAGTCTAAATCTATTCATCTTTAGTTTAAATCCATTATTCCTTGTTCTGTCACAACAGGCCTTGCTAAAAAGATTCTCCCCATCCTTCCTGTAGGCCCCCTTTAAGTACTGGAAGGCCATAAGAAGGTCTCCTTGCAGCCTTCTCTTCTCCGGGCTGAACAACCCCAACTCTCTCAGCCTGGCCTCATAGGAGAGCTGCTCTAGCCCTCACATCATTTTTGTGGCCCTCCTCTGCACCCGCTCCAACAGCTCACCTCCTCTGGACCCGCTCCAACAGCTCCATGTCCTTCTTGTGCTGAGGGCCCCAGAGCTGGACGCAGTACTCCAGGTGAGGTCTCACCAGAGCAGAGCAGAGTGGCAGAATCACCTCCTTCCACCTGCCGGCCATGCTTCTTTTGATGCAGCCCAGGATACAGTTGGCTGCCTGGGCTGGGAGTGCACGTTGCCGGCTCATGTCCAGCTTTTCATCCACCAGTACCCCCAGGTCGTTGTCCGCAGGGCTGCTCTCAATCCCTTCATCCCCCAGCCTGTATTGATACCGGGGGTTGCCCAGTCCCAGGTGCAGGACCTTGCACTTGGCCTTGTTGAACCCCATGAGATTCACACAGGCGCACCTCTCCAGCTTGTCTAGGTCCCTTTGGATGACATCTTGTCCTTCTGGCATGTCAACCCCACCACTCAGCTTGGTGTCATCTGCAAACTTGCTGAGGGTGCACTCGATCCCACTGTCTATGTCATTGATGAAGATGTTAAATAGCACCGGTCCCAGTACGGCCCCCTGAGATACTTCCCTTGTCACCGGTCTCCTTGTGGACATCGAGCCATTGACCATGACCCTCTGGATGCGACCATCCGGCATGGTGCTGGGTGAAGATGGCGCAGAGTTTAGCAACAATAAATATCTTCGATGTATTGAAAAGGCCAGAAGAAGAACCTGTTACTCACTGTGGGATACAGACAGGTATTGAAGGTGCTGGTGATCCATCTTTAACTACTGTGGAGGACTTCTTGGTTAATTTTTAGGTCTCCTTATTGATCTGTGAAGAGGGATCCTAAGTGGCCTAATGTCTTTGCAGTGCCAGGATTAGATGCTTTATCTGTCAACAAGAAGAGAATACTTGCTTAAGATGTAGATCAACTGATCCTTGCTGAGTGAACAAAACATGTCTTGAAATACAGGTTGACTGACCACTGGGGAACTAATGCATCTTGGCACAAGTTAGGGGAGAAGTTCTGGTTGCTTTATAGGGTTTTCTGAGGAGAAAGAACTGACAGTTTGGGTTAGCTCCAGTGCTGTGGTTTTCAACTGGCCTCTGAGAAAAATCTGTGGATTAATACCACTGCATATTGTGGAAAATAGTAAACCAGAAAAGGGAGTTTGTTGTCAGTAGGCTTCAGATCCACTGTGTAGAAGTCTACTGTTGAGAGTTTTTTAACTGAGAAATTTTCAGAGGGCTTGTAATTCCTTAAATAGTGAATTGTTATAAGTCCAGTGACTTCATGATCTCTTGTTTCAAGTAAAGTTGTGACTTGGGAATGAACTAAAAATAGCCACATGGAATTCCTGTCTCTTGGTCAGCGTTGCGGAAAGACTTGTTAGTCAGAATAATTCTGGCTCAGCCTGCTTTCTCATAAAAGACTGACATGTACATTGCCCTCACTGTCTGCGTATAGATTTCATGCTTCATGAATTGCAGCTGATATTGCAAGGCTGTTTTACCCCCAAAACATAGTTTTTTTTGTAAAAGCACCCCCTGCCCCCGAACCTGCCCCACCTCTGAACTTCGTTGGGGAACATAGCTATTTTCTCCTGAAAAATCCAACTTTTCTGTTATACACCAGGAACACTGCCAGCACATGGACAATGGCAATAATGTCCCTTGTTGTCCAGCGCTGTCTGGAAGTTTCTTGCTGTGAGCTTGGTTGTCCTTGAAGTTCTGAAGCTTATGGAGAGATACCTCAATTTTTCCACAAAGTGTTAATGACAATAAAAAGGCAGTATTAAAAAACGGAAAGTTTCTTTTCTTGACAGTCATAGGAATGAATGTCAGTGGCACAAAGTAGGCTGAAGGCCACAAAAACTCTCTGTATTTCTCCCCTGTATTGAAGCATACTAACCCTACAAGCGCAACCCATGTGACGAAGTTGAAGGTGCCAGTGCCCAGCAGAGAGCAAAGGCGCAGCTGTTTGACTAGGTGACACACATGACTAGGTGTGCTTTTAGGCAGAGCACTGGTAGTGTGTACCATGGCGGTCCAGCCTGTCCTCCGGCCACTTGCGCAAAGCCTGTGAGCAGCAAACACTGGCTGCCATCACCCTTCCTCGAACATCATCATGCTGCAGCTGAGCTTTAAGGCTTTCTGGGAAAGGGCGAGCTCTTGGTGGTCCCTCTGGCTGGCAGAAGGTGTGCAATGGGTTGCTTGGGGCTCAGTCCTCCCCAGCACTGCAGCAGTCTTCCACTGCGTGCATCTGCGAAGGTGAAAAGGGCACCTGTCAGCTGTGCTGAGGGTGTGGTGCCCACTCCTCAATGGCCCTGAGCTGGGGCTGTGTCAATAGTCATCTCTGGTCTTTTTGTGCTCCCTTTCTGCAGTCCATGTGGCCATGTCTGTGCTGCTACCTGAGTTACACTTAGCAAGCAAGGCTTGACAGTGGGATTTGAGAGGCCATTTAGGATCTGTCCTGGTTTTGGCTGGGATAGAGTTAATTTTCTTCCTAGTAGCAGGCATAGTGCTGTGTTTTGGATTTAGTAGGAGAAGAATGTTGATAACACGCTGATGTTTTTTGTTGTTGCTGAGTACTGCTTATGCTAGTCAAGGACTTTTCAGCTTCCCATGCTCTGCCAGGTGCACAAGAAACTGGGAGGGGGCACAGCCACCATAGTTGATCCAAACTGACCAAAGGGCTATTCCATACCATACAACATCATGCTCAGTATAGAAACTGGGGGGGGTTGGCCGGGGAGCAGGGATCACTGCTCAGGAACTGTCTGGGTATTGGTCGGTGTGTGGTGAGCAATTGCATTGTGCATCACTTGCTTCATATATTGTTATTATCATTATTATATTGTTATTATTATCATTACTATTTTACTTTATTTCAATTATTAAAGTGTTCTTATCTCAACCCAGGAGCGTTTCTCACTCTTACTCCTCCGATTCTCTCCCCCATCCCATTGGGGTAGGGGCAGTGAGCGAGCGGCTGTGTGGTGCTTAGTTGCTGGCTGGGGCTAAACCACGACAGGATCCCAGTTCGTTGAAGATATAATATATGAAAGAAAGAGGAAGAGTTTGTTTAATAACCTTAAATGTAAACAGCTGCAGGCTTCATTATTTGTTGTCTAAATAGCTCTTCATTTATACATATCATTATTTCTAGAGTAGTGGTTTAACCGCTTAACACCTTATGCTTGCCTGTGCAAAATGAAATGGACTCTAGATCAGAGGCGTTCCAGTCTAATAAATATTGCAACTTTTGTGTCCTGTTCCTAAGCAAATTCAAGCTGCGGCCGGTGGCAATAACCTGCCTGAGCTCCGGACACTGGGGACCAGCCTTGAGGGGTTCACTGT